ACTCATGCCATGTTCATGACATGCTCATGCCATGCTCATACCAAGTTCACGCTTGTTAAGAAGTAAAAGTGAATCCCTCCCATTCCCTCTCCATCCCAACACACCCCCACATCTCATCCCCACTTGCACCAGCAGCCCTGCACAAACCTTATTGCTGCACCCACCCCATCCTGCACCCACCTCATCCTGCACCACCATGTGCCAGCTGCTGAAAACCCAAAGAGCCCCTGGGATGCTCAGCATCCTTATCCTTCCTCTGGGATGCCCAGCATCCTTGTCCTTCCCCCATGAAGTACAACATCCCCATTCTACCCCTGAGATACTCACTACCCACAAAATGCTGAGCATCCCTATCCTACCCTACCCCTGGGATGATCAGCATCCTTGTTCTATTCCCTGGAAAGCACAGCATCCCTGTCCTGCACCTGGGATTCTCAGCATCCTTGTCCTTCTCCTGGGAAGCACAGCATCTCCATCCTGCCCCTGGAATGCTCAGCATCCCCGTTCTGTCCTCCCTGTCCTCAAGCTCCCTCTCCTACCAGAGGACAGCATCCCCACCCTGTCCCAGGCGAACCCAGTATTCCATCCCTTTCCCAGGGTAGCACTCCCTCTTCCAGCTCTCCCAAGCATTCCCATTTACAGTCACCATGGTGTGAAGGTGCTGCCTGGAGGCTGTTGGTCCTGGGGACATACTCATGGTATCCACCACGATCCAAACTGAAGTCCTGGAATCAGCGGTGGGGTCCTGGAGCAGGGGGCATGGACAGCTTTATCCACAGTCCCCATGCACCATAAGGTCCTGGCACAGGAGGTGCCTGCCCATGCCCGAGGGAAGGCAGGGGAGCAGGGACTGTCATTCCCGCAGCTCCAGCTGGATCCCATCCTGTGGCCATCCTTGTTCCCAGACCGGCCCATATGCCACACAACAGCGCTGCTGCATTGCCCACCAGAGAGGAATGTCTGCAGAGCTCTTTCCTGAGTTTGGAGGGAGGTGGAGAGGAGTGAGCATGAAATGCAGGTGACACGGTGGGACCTGGAGCATCTCTCCCCCTTCCCCTCTCTCCTCTTCTTCATCTCTTCACCTCTCTACTTCTACATCTCTCTGTCTTCCAATTTCAACGTCACTCTGTCTCTCTGTCTTTCCACCTCTCCACCTCTCCTTTTCTCCATGTCTCCATGCCTCTGTCTTCATCTCTCCACCTCTCCATGTCTCTACATGTCCAAGTCTCCACCTCTCGGTCTCCCCATTTCATTGTCGCTCCACCTCTGTCCTTCCACCTCTCCATGTCTCTGCATCTCCAGCTCTCCATATCTCCATCTCTCCATAACTCCATATTTCCACCTCTCCATCTGTCTTCTCATTTCAACATTGCAACATCTGTCTCCACATCTCCATGTCTCCATGTCTCCATCTCTGTCTACCCGTTTCACCGTTGCTCTCTGTCTTATCACCTCTCCACCTTTCTTCTTCTCAGTTTCTCCTCCTCTCTATTTCTCCACCTCTCCTCCCCTCCATCCTCTCCATGTCTCCATCTCTCCATGTCTGTGTGCTCTTCCCCATGTCTCCATGTCTTCACCTCTCCATCTCTGTCTCCCTGTTTCACCATCGCTCTCTCTCTGTCTTCACACATTTCCACCTCTCCATCAGTCCCTCTCTCCATTTCTCCTCCTCTCCATCTCTCCATGTGTAAATGTCTCCATGTCTCCACATCTCTATGACTCCATGTCTCCACCTCTCCATCACTTCATCTCCGCATTTCTCCACCTTTCCATCTCTTCACCTCTCCATGTCTCCACCTCTCCATGTCTCTACCTCTCCATCACTCCACCTCTCCATCACTCCGTGTCTCTTTTCTCCATTTCACCCTCTCTCCACCTCTCCATCTTTCCACCTTCCCACCTCCCCGTCTCCCCCTTCCCTCCCCTCTCCTCCGCGGCCCTCCCATGCCCTCCCCAGCCGTTCCCTTTCCCCGTTCCCGTTCCCCGCCGCCGGGCCAGCTCCGCGCTGAAGACGCACGGCCCCGGCGCCCGCCGCTGCCGCCTTCCCCGTCCCCAAGGGGCTCCTCCGGCCCCCCTGAGCTCCGGACAGCCCCGCGGGGTCCCCCCGCAGCCGGCTCCTCCCCGGGCCCCTGCATCCCCTGCCGCACCACCCCGGTAACAGCGCCGCTCCCCGCAAGCCGCCGGCGCGCCCTGCCCGGTTCGCACAGCCCCGGGGGACCGCGCTGGCCGCTCCCGGGACCGCCCGCTGCCCCCTGCCCCCCACCAGCCGTGGGGGGAGCGGCGGGACCGACCCACTGCCACGGGGCCCTCCCCGCCCCGGGGCTCAGCCCCGCGCCCCGCTCCCCGCCGCCCGGCGCTGCGTTACGCACGGGGCTCCCCCGGTGCGGGGGCTCCGCCGGGGCTCCTGGCGGCCGGGGCGGAGCTGGAGGGGGTCCGGGCCCGGCTTACAGCTCTCCGCGCTCTGTCGGGAGCCTCACGGGCAGCCCCGGGGCGAGATGCGGGGGGACACAGTGGGAAGCGGGGAGGCGGCGCGGCGGCTCCCGGGGGCCGGGACCGGGCCCGGGCCCTGCGAGGCTGTGGTTAATGTGTAATTCGGAGCATATGGCATTTTACAAAGGCGGGCGGCTGTGCGAGGAGCGGGGGGCCGGGACCGGGGTGCTAATAACGCTCGGTGACACCCGGGGCCGGGCGCGGAGGGCCGGGGCTCTGGGCTCCTCTCGGGCCAATATTTGCTCTTCAAATATTTTACTTTGAAACATTTACAACGTGGTTTATTTTACGTTTTTATCTCCTAAGAAAAGGGCCATCTGCGCACCGGCATGTCCCCGCTGGTCCCGCCATCCCCGGCCGCCCCAGTGTTTGTCCAATACTCCCCAAAACGCAGAGCACCCCCCTAAAACAATAAAGTAAATACATGCTCTAGCCCCGAATATGGGCTTATGAGCGAATACCAAGCGCTTGCCCATATGGCAGCTCTGCCTGCCCCTGTTTGCTCTGAGGGGCTCTCTGGAGCCCAGGGAGGCTCCGCCGGGGGTTACCGGGGATGCAGCGGAGGCCGCGCTGTCCACCGGGCGCCGGTGCTGAAACGCCGCCGGTAGCACCGGTACCCACTCACTGCCCGGTCCAGGGGGGTTCGGTGGGTCTCGGAGCCACCAGGCCAGGCCACCGACGGAGCAGCCCGGGCCGGGCGTGTGCTGGGCGCGGCCGCCCGGTCACCATCGGGTCGTCCCCTCCTCCCCATCCTCCTCTTCCTCCTGCCCCGTGACATCACGGTCCTGCTCCTTCAGCAGCCGCCCCGCACGGCACCGGCTCGGCAGCACCTGGCTGGCTCCGAGGACGATCCGGTTCAGCTCCACAGGTACCCCCCTGCATCCCTCCGGGCATTCCTGCGCTCAGCCGTAGTCACCTGTGCACACATACACACACGTGTATGTGCAGATGGTGGCATGGATGCGTGTAAAAGTGTGTGCTCATGTGTGTGCAGCTGGGCATGGGGAGAAAGGAGCACATGCATGTGTGTGTGTGTCCATACATGCAGAAGCACTTGGATGTGTGTGGATGGGTGCGCACAGACTCATGCTTGTACGAACATGAAGGGTAGCACAGGGCAAGCTCGGGCATGGGAGGGCTGCTTGGGGTGGTTGTGACTTCTTATCCTGTGTGGGAAGCAATTCCCAGTAGGATTTGGGTGGTGAAGGTGCCTTAATATGGAGAAAGCTTTGGGTTCTCCAGGAATGGTTTGCTCTGCACCAGCCTGATCAAGCCCCATTTCGTTTATTTCTCTCTTCGCCCCTATGTGCACAAACGCCCAGCTCAGCCCCTCTCCAAGGTCCCTCAGGCGGACCAAGGGGGACAGTGGGCTCCCGGCTCAACATTCCCAGTGCACCTGTTTTTCCATGTAGAAAGAAATCCCCGTGTCGCCTCCTGGCATAACACGAGCCAAGCCCTTGGCTGGGAACAAAGCTGGGGACCACTGCTGGAGGCTGTGCCCGTGCTGCTTGTTCCTTCCTTCCTGGAGCAGCCTCGGGTGCTTTGTTCCAGGATGATCCATTCATTTCCGAACGAGAGGAAGATTTGGTTTCTTTCCACCTGTGGGAAATCTGCCCACTTGTCCTGTTGATGGACAAGGAAGGATGGATTTTGCTTTTCTTGACTCTCACAGCCAGGGTGAGTGTCCTCAGGCACTGACTCAAGCTGTTGAAGGGAAGCAGCACCATGGCTGCAGTGGGATTTGGGAGCTGGAGCGGGACAAGCCCCCTCTGGGGTGTCCAGGAGTTTATAGGGTGTTTCAAGTGAAATCCTGGGGTAGTTGAGGAGCAGACAGGCTGCTGGAGCAGGAATTGCTCTGTGTCCCCCATAGCATGGTTTGGATGGAAGGGACATTAAAGCTCCTCCAGTTCCAAACCCCTGCCACAGGCAGGGACACCTCCACTGGAGCAGGACCCACTACATCCATGGGGCTGCTTTAGGTCAGGCTCTGGGGCGAGGGAAGGTGCTAGGGGGCAGAGAGAAGGGCTGGGGATGGGAAAGGGCAGGAACTTTGGGAGTGTGTCCCCACCATGTGGGGCAAGATCAAGGCTGCTTTGCCTTGCTTTTCTGGCAAAGGAAGGGGCAGAGCATCTCCAGCTGAAGGACTGGAGGCTCCTGGTATCCTGGTTGTCACCAGCCCATCTCTCCTGGCATCTCTCTCCAGCATCCCAGCATCTCCCAGCCACTTCAGAGCCCAAGTGCCTTTTGCAGCCCTGTGAGCAATTTAAATCCAGGTCCCTTTGATCCCCTGTGCCTGGAAAGCAATGATTTTCCAAGCATTCAGACGCCCTCAAGTGTTTCCATCCTCTGCTGAGGGTTTCTGCCCTTGCTGCCCTTTCTCCTTGCAGGAGGGTAACGAGGGGATGTGGCTGAGCCCTGGCCACTGCCACTGATTGATCCTTCCTCCTAACAGCCACCATCTCCTCTCTGCAATTCCCAGCCACCAAAAGCCCTTGTGGAGCCTCACCACGATGCAACACCGAGGTGAGGGATGCAGCTGCACCACAAGCATGGTCCCTGTGTCCATGGTCCTCAGGAAACTGGGGATGGTCTGTGTCAGCCCTTGCCCCATCACAAATGAGGCTGCTTTCCCCCCCCAAAGCCTGCACTGCGTGCTGGTAGCTGATACACTGCAGCACCCCAGAGCTGTCAGGCCATCCCAATGATGTCCAGTGCTTCCCTGCCCATTCCAGCCCATCACCCCTGTTGCAGCTGCCTTCCCCTGCAGCCTCTCCTCCTCCCCCTGCTCCTCCATGGGGTATCCCTTCAGCATCACTTGATGAATACCCCCATTCCCTGCCTGCTCCTGCCACACGATGCCTGCACCCACACCCCAGCCAACAAGCCCCACATTGCTCCAAGCTCCAAACCCTCCTTCCCAGCCCCTTCCAATGCCCCCTCCCTTCCCAATCCCCATCAGTCCCCAGAGGTCCCCTATGCCACCATCCTTCACCCTGGTGCTCTCCTGGGAGCCAGGTTGGGAAGAGCCAGCACCATCCCCTCCCCCCCCACCCCCAACAAGCTCTGTCCCTGTCTCCTGCTCGGCCACCCCTAGGGCCCAGCGGTGTGAACCAACTGGGGGGACTCTTCCTGAGCGGCCGCCCCCTCCCTGCCTGCAAGAGGAGGCAGATCATTGAGCTGGCGGCGTGTGGCATCCGGAGCTCCGACATCTCCCGCAGCCTCAAGGTGGGAGCCTCTGGGAGTGGGGGGATCTCCTTCTCCAAACCCATTTCCTGCTGAGCCTCTGCCCCATCCATCCCATCTGCAGGTGTCCAATGGCTGCGTCAGCAAGATCTTGGGTCACTACTACAGGACAGGGGCCGTGGGGCCCAAAGCTATGGGGGGCAGCAAGCCCCGCATGGCCACACCCAAGGTGGTGGCCAGGATTGCCCAGATGAAGCTGGAGCAGCCTTCCCTGTTTGCCTGGGAGATCCGCAGGCAGCTCCATGCTGAGGGCACCTGCACCAGTAACAGGATCCCCAGCGTGAGTCCTGGGAAGGATGGGAAGGCTGTGCAGGGAAGGGCGGGATGGTGGAGGGAGGAGTAGGCAGGGAGGGGAAGCAAATCACTCCCTCCCACTAAAGCAGAGCCCCACCAGCCACCCCCAGTGAACTTTGCCATGATCTTGGGCATGGAGACCCTGAGGTGGGGCTGCTCCATGTGCCACTGGTCAGCAGAGGCAATAAGATGTGATCTGCAGCATCAGAGCAGAGAGAATCAGAGAATCATGGGATAAACTGGGTTGGAAAAGCCCTTTAAGCTCATCCAGTCCAACCGTTCCCAGCACTGCCAAGGCCATCACTAACCCATGGCACTGAAGGCCTCGGCTACACGGTGTGTGAACACTTGCAGGGACGGTGACTCCAGCACTGCCCTGGGCAGCCTGTTCCAGTGCCTGAGCACCCTTTGGGGAAGGAATTGTTCCTCATCTCCATTTAAACCTGCCCTGGTGCAGCTTGAGGCCGTTTCCTCTTGTCCTATTGAGCTGCACTTCCTAATGCCAGACCCAGTCCTATAAATCCCACTGTCTCCAGCCTGAGATGCAGGCTGCCTCACATTGGATGCTGTAAGTGCACTGAAATGAATGGGTTGCCTGTATCAACAAAGAGCCGAGCAGATGGAGAACCCCTGGCACGTGCTCAGGTGTGGCTGTGGGTGAGCGCCTCTGGGATGAGCTTTGAGGCATCAGCCTCATCCCTCCAGGCTTGGTGCTGCCTGAGCCTGTCCCAGCTCCTGCAGGGAGCAGTGACGCCCACCGCGACAGGGGCTTCTCCCAGCACACCCTGCCCATGGCACAGCCCCGTCTCCCCTGCCCAGGTCTCCTCCATCAATCGGGTGCTCAGGAAGCTGCCCAGTGACCTGCGGCTGGCGGCTCAGCTGGGCTCTGCGAGGGACACGCTGCCATGGGGTGAGCACCACTGGGGTGCAGGGGATGGGGGGGGGGCACCCCACAGGACAGACCTGCTCCAGGTGGGCAGAGAGCTCCTGCCACCCCCAGCCTCACATGTGCTCCTCATCATGCTCCTGCACTGACCCTGTGCCCCAGCTCAAAGGGGTCCATGGACCCTCCTCAGGGCCAGGTCCCCGCCACCTTCTCCCTGTGGTCCCCACAGTGTCCCCTCTCGCTGCCCCCCCTGCCCCACATCCCCCGGGATGCTGCTTGCCCACTGAAGCTGCTGCCACCGGCTCCCTGGGGACCCAGCACCCGCCCCGGCAGCTCCCACCGAGCACCCAGCACAAGAACAGGACGGTCTTCTCCAGGCAGCAAGCAGAGGCCCTGGAGAGAGGTGGGACATGGCATGGGACACCAGGGGCTGTGGCATTCAGTGTGCCAGCCCCGGGGTGCACAGAGCGCCGGGATGGAGTGGGGCTATGCCTATGGGAGGGCATTGACATGTTCTGGATGGGCTCCTGCCCCTCTGAGTAGCGTGGCCATTGCTGTGGTGCTCCAAACCACTCTGAATTGCTGGTGATGGACCGGCTGGATCATGTGCCACAGCACTGGCAGCTGCTGCTCTGGACAGGCTCATCCCACCCCAATTCCCCTTGCAGAGTTTCAGAGGGGACAATACCCAGACACCGACACCCGGCAGAGACTGGCCGCGGCCACCCAGCTCCCAGACACAACCATCAAGGTGAGAGGAGACCCTCATAAAGCCATTCTGCAGCTGGACCATCTGGTCCTGGTGACCAACGCAGCCCCTGTGCCCAGTGCCTCTGAGGGGGATGATGCTGCATGTCCCATCCCAATGCGGCCACTGCTCCAGCCACATTCCCTGCTTCTGCTATCCCTCCATGGCAGACTCCATGACACAGCCCCCTCACGCATGCATCCAGGGCACACTCTGATCCAGGCAGACATCCCATTGCTGTTGGCAAACCTTCGCCATCCATGTGGTCACCCCACACCATGGTGGTGCACACACACACATGTGCATCCACACTTTTCCCATGCCCTGCGCTGAAGAATCTCCTGGAGCCTGGAATGTGCTTGTAGCATGCTGAAGTGGAAAAGATGAGGGATCGAGCCCCTTCCTCTGCTCACAGCCATGCCCATCCCATGCCCATTCCCATGCCATGCTCATGCCCATCCCATGCCCATTGCCACCCCACCCCATACCCTTCCCATGCCCATGACATGCTCATCCCCATGTCCATCACTATGTCCATCCCCATCCCCATCCCCACGCTCATTGGTGTGCAAAGAGCCCTTGTTCTGGGATGAAGAGCTGTGCCAAGGAGCTGGAGTGGGGCCAGGGCGTGGGTGCTGCTGGGTTGGTGTCTCAGGGGGTGTGCCACTGGGGGAATGCCGCAGCCTCGTCCTCCTCTGTCCTCCCCAGGTCTGGTTCTCCAACCGGCGAGCGAAGTGGAGGCGGGAAGCCAAGCAGGAGCTGGAGGCAGGAGCCACAGGTGACAGCCCAGAGCAATGGGGACAGGACTTGGGGATCTGATGCCCAAGGATGGGGCTGGGGTCCAGGGGCCACCCCACTGAGATTTGGCACTGGGCACCGGGATGACTGGGTTTGCGTCCCAGCTCCAGAGCCCTGTGGGAGCAGGGGAGAGGACACAACCAATCTCTGTGCCCCTGGTGAATGGCAGCTCCAGTCCCGTGGCCAGGATGGCCCCTGGCAGCTCCGCAGACCATCGCCTACGGCACGGGGTGATGCCTGCCTGCATCCATCCAGTGGGAATGTGCTACCCCTAGGCAGTAAAGCTTCATCCCTGGCTTTCCCCAGCCAAAACCAGGTCTGGGTCCTGCATGGTTCCTGAACCAGCACTGCCCTCCCTGCCTCTCCCCTGCAGGCTCCTGGTGCCACTGGATCCTGCTCCATGGGGTATCCATGGCTGCTTTCCACCCCGTATCCCCAACAGCCACTAGCTCTGCACAGGTAGGACATGGCCGGGGTCCCTTCCCTCCATCTGGTGATGGGGAGTCCCCACCAGCACCCAGCAGGCTCCGGGCACCCTCTGGAGCCCACACTCCCATTGCCCAGCTACACTGAGCTTTCTGGGTGCTGCCTATCCCAGGGAGCATTCCTGGAGCCAGGCCGGAGGGTGACACTTTGCTGGTTCCCTCTGGGATGGCCTGGTCCTAAAGCATCCCTGTGGATGCTCTGTGACATCCTGCTCTCTGTTCCTCACACAGCACCTCCCGGACACCCCCATGGGCTCATCACAGCCCCTCCAAGGCCATGGCCCCATCAGCCACCCTGGCCCCCCTGCCCCACTGCACCTCTGCACCTCCGGCACATGGGATGACACTTGCTGTGGTAAAAGGGCTGGGAATGGGGCTGGCACCCCCGGGCACAGGGTGGGAGCTGGTGTCAGGATGCAGGACCCCATAGGGTGCTGGGGGGTGTGGGAGGCGGGTCCACCCCTCCCTCTTGCAATGTGGGGTGGCTGCTCTGGGCTGGGGGTTCCACAGGGAGTGGAATGGGGCTGAGGGGATGCTGCCCAGCCCCACACCCTGCCTGAACCCCATTTTCATCCCGCAGGTGTGGCTCCGGGCATCAGCCCTGCTCCCGCTCACTGGCAGCCCACGGAAGGTCCCTCCTTTCCCCTATTGTCCCCCCAGGCTCCACTGCACCCCGGTGCCTGCCTCCTGCCTGGACCCCCGCTGAGCCCCCCTCTGCCACCACTGTGCCCCGGCTCACCGGAGCCCTGTGCCCAGCTCCATGCACTGGGGTGTCCCTGGCTCTGAGGGTCCCCAGCAGGATGGGGGCTGCAGGACAGTGAGTGCAGGGTGTCCCTGCATGGGTGTGCATGGGTGACAGCAGGGCCACCATCAGCTCATTGCCTGCCCCCTGCAAGCCAGGACTCAGACCTCCAGGAGCTCAGACCCCAGGTCCAGAGGGGCAAAGGGGTGGGTGCTGGGGGAAAGCGTCCTTCTGTGCTGGACAGGCTCAGGTTATGGGTCTGTGGTTTGGGTCAGTCTGTGGGAGCTGAGCACCTTGGGGACCCCCTCATCGTGCTGGAGCATGTCACCATCCCCAGTGCTTTGTCTCTGCCCCAGGACACTGCACAAGGGTGCACGGTGTCTCTGCCCCACTTCTTAGAATAGAATCACAGAACCAACCAGGTTGGAAAAGCCCTTTAACCTCATCCAGTCCAGCCATTCCCCAGCACTGCCAAGGCCACCACTAACCCATGGCACTGAGGCCTTGGCTACACGGTGTGTGAACATTTGCAGGGATGGTGACTCCAGCACTGCTCTGGGCAGCCTGTTCCAGTGCCTGAGCACCCTTTGGGGAAGGAATTGTTCCTCATCTCCATCTAAACCTGCCCTGGTGCAGCTTGAGGCCGTTTCCTTTTATCCCATCCCCTGTATCCTGGGAGAAGAGGCTGATCATTGCTGCATCCCCGTCAGCATCCCTCCATCCGCTGGTCCCCCCACCCTGACTTGAGAGCTTGCAGAGGGGCAGGTCTCAGCTGCATGGGGGATCCTTGATCTAAATAAATAGTTTTGGGTTTCTGTTTGTTTTGAAGTTGAGTTTCCTGGGGAGCCAGGGTAAAGGTGCTCGTCACTGGCACAGAACATTGATGCAGGCTGGAGAAATGGGTTTACTTCATAGAACCACAGAATCCCAGACTGGTTTGTACCTTAAAGCTCCTCCAGTTTCAACCCCCTGCCACAGACAGGGACACCTTCCACTAGAGCAGGTTGCTCCAAGCCCCTGTGTCCAACCTGGCCTTGAACACTGCCAGGGATGGGGCAGCCACAGCTTCTCTGGGCACCCTGTGCCAGCGCCTCAGCACCCTCACAGGGAAGAACTTCTGCCTAAGAGCTCATCTCAGTCTCCCCTCTGTCAGGTTAAAGCCATTCCCCTTGTCCTGTCCCTACAGGCCCTTGTCCAAAGCCCCTCTCCAGGTTTCCTGTAGCCCCTTTAGGCACTGGAGCTGCTCTAAGGTCTCTCCTTAAGGAGCCTTCTTTTCTCCAGGCTGAACCAGCCCAGCTCTCTCAGCCTGGCTCCAGAGCAGAGCTGCTCCAGCTCTCGCTACAGCTCCGTGGCCTCCTCTGGCCTCTCTCCAACAGCTCCACATCCCTCTTGTGCTGCTGCACCAGAGCTGGATGTACCTCTTTTCATTCCAGAAACATGGAGCGGCTTGGCCAGGTTTGGTGCATTATTGAGGGGCTGCAGGATTCAGGCTGCTGCAGTTACAGCACTCAGCCCCATGGCATCACTTGTCAGTGGAGCCAGGATTTCATTCCTACCCCTTCAAAAGCATTTATAATGGAGTTGTTGGACCCAGCAGGACAGACCTCAGAAGGGCCGTTGTCCAGTGTGGGACGCTGCAACTGATGCACCATTCACATGGAGCAGGACCTTGTTTGTGGAGCAGGTCTGAGGTGCCATGAGTTGACCCTTAGTGGCCAAGGGGACGTGTCCTTGAAGAGAGGGGCTTGGGAGCAGGCAGGAACCCACCAGTGACTGGGGCCATGGGGAACTGGCAGGGCTGGAAGGGGCACAATGGCATGTGTGGGGCTGCTGGCTCAGATGCCACAATGGTTGGTGCCAAAGGGACACCCCATGGGCTCAGAGCTGGCATTTCTGGGGCACTTCACCTCAGCCCGGCCAGGCCAGGCTGGAGGAACTGGTGCTAAACGGGGCAGTACATTACACACAGAGAGTGGCTTTTGTTCCCCCGCTGAGAGCAGGGTGAGGGGCTGCAGCCCCACAGCGCACCCTGCTGTGGGTGCAGGGGGCTGTATATGGTGGACATGGAGCTGAGTCCCCCTGGGATTGCTCTTGGTTTACCCCAAGGAGGGGTTGACCTCATCGCTCCCTACAACTGCCTGACAGGAGGATGGAGCCAGGAGGGGCTGGGCTCTGCTCCCAAGGAACAAGGGATGGGACAAGAGGAAACGGCCTCAAGCTGCACCAGGGCAGGTTTAGATGGAGATGAGGAACAATTCCTTCCCCAAAGGGTGCTCAGGCACTGGAACAGGCTGCCCAGGGCAGTGCTGGAGTCACCGTCCCTGCAAGTGTTCACACACCGTGCAGCTGAGGCCTCAAGTGCCATGGGTTAGTGGTGGCCTTGGCAGTGCTGGGAACAGTTGGACTGGATAAGCTTAAAGGGCTTTTCCAACCCAATTGATTCTATGGCAGCACAAAGCTGTCCCCACTGCAACAGGACCCTCCACGACCCAGCAGAGGTTGCCTGGCAATGGGAGGTGATGGGTGAAGGTCTTCCACCATCACCATGAAGCATCACCCACCTCGCAGGGATTAACCATCCCTCAGGAGCTGTGCCAGTGAGCGAAGGCACCGGCATCACCTTGTCCCCTGCTGCAAGGTGGCTTTTGAGGCTTGAGGCTGCTGTGATCATGGTGAGGCCTTCAGAACAGGTTGCCCAGAGAAGCTGTGGCTGCCCCATCCCTGGCAGTGTTCAAGGCCAGGTTGGACACAGGGGCTTGGAGCAACCTGCTCTAGTGGAAGGTGTCCCTGCCCATGGCAAGGGTTGATACTGGAGGAGCTTTAAAGTCCCTTCTAACCCAAACCATTCCATGATTCTTTTCCCTGGAGGCAGTCAGAAACAGGCCGGGCACAGGGTACAAAGTGGTGGTGTTTAATGATCAATGTACAACAGCAGCCACAGCCCTCCCCAGGAGAAAGAGAACTGGAGTTACCAAAGGAAGGATCCTTCCTGCTGCCTCCAGCCCGTCTCAGACCCCAGCCCCAGCTCTGGGCGAGGCTCAGGGACACTTGGGGACACGTCACCGCAGCAGGTGCGGGCAAGCTCTCACAGACAGCACATGCAGGTGGGGAGGGCGGCCAGCATGCAGTGCTGCTGGGGCCAGGGCAGGGCATCACCGCAATCTTGGCTGCCCCAAGAGTCCTTGAGCTTCAAGTCCTACCCCATAAACACAGAGACACGAGGCCATTCTGGGGAGAACAGAAAAACAACCCCCCCAAATAATAAACCCCAAGGGAAACCAAGGGAAAGAGCAGTTGGAAGAGATGTCCCCAGCTCCTCTGGTCCCTGCGCCACCGGCCCTGCTAGCGCTTGGAGAGCTCGTGCGAGAGCCAGTCCAGCCCATCGTAAAGCCCCGTGCCCTGCGTGGCACACGTGGCCTGCACGTACCACTGCAAAAGAGGGAATGGAGAGCTCTGGGCTCCGCAGGTCACCCAGAAGCAGCCCCACGGGTCCATCCCATAGGGATGGGGATGGCACCCCCGGCACTCACGGTCCTGCTGCGCAGCGCTTGCAACCCCAGCTTGTCGGTCAGCTCGCTCACGGCCATGGCGTTGGGCATGTCCTGCTTGTTGGCAAACACCAGCAAGACGGCATCCCGCAGCTCGTCCTCCTGCAGCTGCGGAGGGAGCAGGGACGCTGAGCTCTTAGTGAGCCTTTGGTGAGCCTCAGCACCCTGGCAAGTGAGACCCAGCCTGGACAGGGCCAAAGAGCCAGGGGGGTCTCCAGCTCTGGTGTCTTGGCTCCCTTCCTGCTCCCATCGTTGCCTGGAGGTCTTGGTGGCATCGAGATGCTTTTCCAGGAGCACCCACGGCATTTACAGAGGGGATGGTGGTGTTGGGGTGTGGGGCTGCAAGGGGTGGGGGGCACAATGACCACCATGGGGATAGCACAGGAGAGTGGACATGATTTCTCCTCCCTGCTCACAGGCTCTGTCACTCTGCTGTGTCCCAGCTTCCCATCCCAAGGATGCTCTGCCCCCTGAGGGAGCCACACCAAGGATTAAATGTCTCCCTGTCTCCACATGGGACACCCCGAGCTCTGTGTTGAGCCAGGTCTCATCTCACACCAACCTGGATGTTGCTGCAGGGCTGCGTGAGCAGGGGGAGGGTGAGGGACACCCATCCCCTGCCAGAGCGATCTCCCCCTATCACTCACCATCTTCTGCAGCTCCTCAGCAGACTCCTGCACTCGCTCACGGTCATTGCTGTCCACCACAAAGATGAGACCCTGTGGGAGAAGCTAGGCTGGAGCTGGCAGCTTGTATGAAGGAGATGGGGACATCCCAGGTGGGCAGAAAGCACCTCTTGACCGAGGGAAAGGGCAGCCCTGCTGCCCCCCAAACACCCCCCCCCCACCTGGGGAAGATGCTGGCCCCTCATTGGACCCCTCTGCCTCACTCCCCTCTGATGGGGCAATGGGCCACACACCCATGTGCCACCCCAGTGCTCCCAGTGGGGTCACCACACCGGGGACTGGGATGCATTCCCTGCTCACCCCTCATCCAGGCAGGATAAGGTCTCAGGGATCCTGGACCAGCCCTGCTGCAACCGAGGGAGCTTATTCCTGTCCACGCCATCCACGTACCTGTGTATTCTGGAAGTAGTGCCTCCAGAGGGGCCGGATTTTGTCCTGGCCACCAACGTCCCAAACGGTGAAGCAAATGTTCTTGTATTCCACTGTCTCCACGTTGAACCCTGAGGGGGGACACGGAGAGAAGGTGCTCACCTTCCTCTGAGAGGAGCCTGGATGCATCCTCTTTACTCCCTCCACGAGGGATTTACACATTTACACACATGGATGTGGTCCCCCCAGCCACCTCTCCAGGCTGAGCATCCCACCTCTCCCTGCCTCTCCTCTCACAAGGGATGCTCCAGCCCCTTCACCATCACCATGGCCCTGCACTGGACTCACTCCAGCATGTCCC